ACATTATGGAGGCGGTGCAGCAATAATCAAATAGAGAGGATAAAAAATAATATATATATATATATATACAATTGAAAAGGAACCGACAGCTGTGTAAACGTTCAACTAAGAAACAGAAGGGAGGAATCGAGGCTTCTCTCGATCCGGCCTCCTATAACGCCTACGTTGGGTTCGGGAACAACGTATATGATCTCCGCAACGGAGTAACACACAAGGGCGATAACCTCTTCCTTTTCAGCAAATAGGTTCAGACGGGGATTACGGGTCTTCCGAAGTCGTCCCGGTCCCAACGCCTTAATTCTTCGATGTGGACTGTATAATTTTGAGGGATGAATTTCTTGGGAATAAAACAGCAATTATCTTCAAACCGTTCCGTGAGAGAGTAATTACTTTTCCCTATCACTTCCCTACACTTTTTCTTTCTTCTTATTGACTGCTGGTCCGATTCCCGAAGTTTCTCCGAACTTTCCCGAAACTTCCCTGAACGATTCCCGAAGGATTCCCGAACGATTCCCGAAGGATTCCCAGAACGATTCCCGAAGGATTCCCGAACGAATTGCAACGTTGATGTCTTCTGTACGTACCTAAGTAAGTGCAGGTATCGGGCCTCGGGGTATACCCCATTACCCGGATATCCTCATACCCCATGACTATGGGGTAGTCACTTATTGCCTATCTTGGCGTGGTTGTGCTGCATTATATTATGTAGCCGGATAAGAAAATTTACTTTCCGTAGTTCACCGACTACGGAAAGGGAGGTAATCTATAGAGGTTTTCAAAAGTCTAGTTGGCCTTTCTGCGGCATTGTGGGTTGTTACTCAACTCTCTAATCACATATAGAGAGGAGTTCTCTTGGAAGAGGTCGCCCGTCCGTGGCCGGGTGTGTAACGGCGCAAAGCCGTTCAGGTGTTCATGTGGCCCGTTATCGGCACGGTCAAACATGCCGCGCGCTAACCGGGCCACAAAGTCGGTGATAGTCTCGACTTTCAGATCGGCCGCTATGACGTCATTCCGGACGTAACGACCTGCTCCGACAATCGTCCTTAATGACAGGTTCTGCTGAGCCTGTAATCGCCGCCTCTGGGTGTCACTCAGAAGCGCGTACCAGGCCGGAGCAGCGTAGGTGGTAATAGTCCGGATATACATCTTGTATATCCGGAGCTTGGTCTTTATGGGCAGCTTGGATGCCAGGACCGGACGAAGCATCGCCCGCGCACATCTGGCTTTGCGGACGACGAAGTCGACGTGCGCAGTCATGCGCAGCGCCCGGTCGATCCGGCACCCGAGGTATGTCACGGCCTTCTCGTACGCGATCTTCTGGCCGTCGAGAGTTAGTGGTGGTGGTAGGTTTCTGAGGCGGCGGGTGAGCAGAGCGGTCGTCTTACCAACGTTGACGACCATCCTCCACTCGTTCAGCCATGGTGGCAACATGTCCAGCAGACGCTGCATTTTGGCAGTGGCTATATGGGCTCTTCCGGACGAGGTGAAATAGGCGCTATCGTCCGCATATAGCGCCAGCTCAACGTCGTCCTCCCATTCTTGCAGCCTGCCTGCCAATGTTGGAATATCATTCGTGTAAGCCGCGTACAGGACTGGAGACAGACAACTGCCCTGTGGGACGCCGGCACTGATGGTTCTTGTTGCGGACTCGGCGTCCTCTACGCAGACGTAGAACTTCCTGTCTTCCAGGAAAGACGCCATTAACCGCAACATAGCAGGGGGGACACTGGTCTGTTCGTGCAACTTGTATAGTAATCCTGAGTGCCACACCGGTCGAACGCCTTCTCGACATCGAGGAAGACGCCCAACGATATGCGGCCACGATTGTACTCTGCCGCAAGCAGGTGCAGCACTCTAGTCAACTGTGTGACTGTAGAGTGACCCCTCCTGAATCCGTGCTGCTTCGCCCGAAGTTGGATGCACGGACGGGGACGTCTTAGCAGCAATCTTTCAAACAGTTTAGCTATGTGCGGTAATAGCGTAATCGGCCTGTAACTGGCAGCTCTACGCCTGTCCTTCCCGGGTTTCGGCAAGACGATAATTTTGCCTTTTTTCCATTCCTCCGGGAAGTGGGATGTCCGCAATATCCCATTGTAGAGTCGACCAATCTCTACTAGGACTTTATAGGGCAGCTGTCGGAGTGCAGCGTTGGTAATCCCATCGTGCCCAGGCGCCTTCCTCGGTTGCAGGCGGGTTACTGTCCTCCGCAGTTCAGCGGGGGAGATGAACCACTCTCCTGCAAGAGGCGGCGCGGGCGACGACAGGAACTCCTGTACGCGACTCTCCTTTAGGGCATGAAGCTCCATGTACTCCGCACTTGCAGGGTTCGGCATAAATTGCTCCTCGAAGTGCTCTCCTAGGGATATCCGCTCTGCCCTTGGCATCATAGCAGCGTTCGCCCGCACTGTTGGTAAGCGGGCAACGGGAGGTCTGGTTTTGGTTAGCTGTCGGTTCAGTCTATAGAGCGACGCATTTTGTTCTTCCGCCTTCCATATGCGCCGCTCCCAGGCCTCTCCTCTGTGTGCCCGGACTGCCACCGACAGCTCCTCCGATAAGGTGTCTGTCTCCGAAAACGAATTGCAAGAAAACTCGTTTACTGAGCTACCCCAGAGCTATACGCGAAAGTGAGCCGCGCCATTTGTGCGCTTGCGCAACTCAATTACATCAATTTGTACTATCACTCTCTCACGGTTTACTCAATAACTTTATTTGCATAAGTCATACATTAACACAATTTACTTGTATAGATAGCGCAAAAAAATATCTATACTACGATAGACATTACATTTTCATATCACAAAAAACCTTTTACTTATTTAACAAAATATGCCCATTTTACTCACACGTTCGAAGTTGAAACTTCTTAAATATTTAACATAGAAAGTTTAAACAATGTTATCCACTTGAAATTATACATATCTTAACTAATACAATAGTTTCATTTACATTTTATCTATACATTTCACTATTAAAACACTTTTAAATTTCTTATACAAAACTATCATTATTTCACTTATTCACAGGAATTTTCACATAAAAATAACACAGAATTCACCTTTTTTACACGTGAAATCAATCTGAAATGTTTCACAAGTCATTTTTACATAAATTGCAAATATTTAAATTTCTACATATTTGGCCTCCTAAATACGTGGCTAGCGTGCGTCTATGAACTCACACTATTTGAACAACCAACTTTTGCACGGCTATCGACTATCAGAAAAAATGGAAAGTCTAATATACACCAATATCAACAATACTAAGGTGAATAAATGCTTTTACACAATTCTCAAACCGTAGGAAACTATTTCTAATCAGATTCTTATCCGTTATCATATCTCTTATCAGATAACAATATAAGTGAATGTTTTCATAAATCAATCATAGAAAATAGGCATTTGTTTTCATACAAAACATATCAAACTCATATAAAACAATACTTATGCAATTAATTTCCATTAATTCTATTTACTCACAAAGTGATCATCTCGACCGGGGAATAAATCCGATCTCTAACTCTATTTTAATATTCCTTTAAATTTACATCATTGGAAAGATGATTTCAACCGGGGAACAAATCCGGTAACATAATTTATATCTTAAAAATTCCCTATATGAATTTATTAAGAGATATTACTAAGAAAACGATAAACTATTCCGGCCTGGGAGTCGAACCCAAGACCTTCATATCATTAATTCGATATTTCTTTAAGATTCAACTAAGCATTTTCTTATCGGAATATTGTTGCTTGATAATTCGCTTTTTAGAAGCTATTCGTAATCGGTTAACTTAATAAATTGAAATATTCTTATAGGCGCGTCGCCAACAACAATATTATTTCGTTCGTATAAATATATATAGTTTTGCCGTGTGGTGTGCAGCGGAGTAGAATAGCACCACCCCATGTCTACCTGTGGGTGTCGTAGAAGGCGACTAAGGGAGTGTGGAAAAAGGTCTGAACCCTGTACCTTTTCCATCTGTCCGAGTCCCTCTCCGGTCGTAACGGTCTCCGTTTCACTGGGTCCAGGGGGGAAAAAGTCGAGTACAAGAGTACAAGAGTACGTGCACCTGTGTTCGCGCGTACACTTGTGCACGTTAATATCTCCTGCGCAATTGACCTGCTTCTAATTTGGATTCCGATCTAAGGGCGATGGGAGGTAGAGTGGCTTAACGTGATGTTCGTTGGGTTTTGTCTGACTCCTGCACGTAGGCGGTCTTGGGGGGTGTAGTATAAATCGTGGTCGTTTCTTCCCCGCATCGGGGTGACAAAGCAGCCCTATTCAGGGAGGCACTGCTTTCCTCGTTCAGCCGGAGAGGGGGGCTAGAAAAGGTGCCCTAAACAAATGCTCACTCCAACCCTTTAGGATGGTACCAACCGCGGCTGCCTCCGCATCACAAATCCGCGGTTGACGCCACAGAAAAAATAATGAAATTTTTAATTTATCAAAATCAATGACATTTGGCTCGTAGAATGTGCGCACACTTCTTGATCGTGAAGAAAATTCCTGCCCTGAGCGGAAAACTGCCGTATAAACACCGATAACCATCGTAGCTCGGGAACTAAATCGATATAATATTGATGTGGCTGCACTCAGCGAAACACACCTCCCCGATGAAGGCGAGCTGGTAGAATACGGCGGAAGGTATACTTTCTTTTGGAAAGGACTCGCTTCCTCAGAGCCGCAGTCTGGTGTAGGCTTTGCTGTCAAGAACTACCTTGCTGCTCAACTACAAGAATACCCTGTACACATCTGGGACCGCATTACCACATTGCGCCTTTACATGGGACGTGAAAACTATCTTAATGTCATCAGTGTCTATGCCCCTACGCTAGACAAGTCTGATGAAATTAAGGACAAATTTTACGAAGAATTGACGTGGTTCATAGATCGTATCCGTCCAAGGGAGCAAATCCTTCTCCTGGGTGACTTATAATGCCCGAGTAGGACGAGATTATGACGCCTGGCCTAAATTTCTGGGCAGAGATGGTGTTGGTAAAATGAACAGCAGCGGCCAACTGTTGCTTAGTTTTTGTGCACAATTAGATCTTGCTATTACAAATACTATGTTCAGATTACCTGCCAAGTACAAGGCAACGTGGATGCACCCCAGATCGAAGCATTGGCGCCTTATCGATTACGCTATCGTGCGTCAAAAAGACATCTCTCAAGTCCTAGTCACCCGTGTCATGCGTGGTGCTCACTGTTGGACTGATCACAGGCTTGTTGTTATTAAATTAAGTCTTCGTCTTCCACGTCCTTGTAGATCTGAAAGATCTAAACAGATACGTCTGAACCTTGAACGACTCCAAGATACTAACACGAGGGCTAAATATGCCGAAACCTTGAGCACTGCTCTGCAGCCCCTCGACCTAAAATCAGGTGAGATCAATACTGTCTGGGAGTCTCTATCTTCTACTGTTCTCGACACTGCCAAAGGTATGAGAGTTCGAAAACATGAGGACTAGTTTGATGATAATGATGGGGTACTTACGGACGCTATTGATAAACACCGTAGGCTCCTAAAGCAGCACAGTAGAACTCATCAGAGTGGAAGTTTTAAGGAGTTGCGTCATAGTGATCTGGAGCTACGTAAACTCGCACGACAAGCGAAAGATAAGTGGTAGCAGGAGAAGGCTCGTCAGATGCAGTGGCTCGCTGATACCAACCAGCTCAGTGAGTTTTATGCTGAGGTGCGACATCTACTCGGTACGCCCACTATGGAAAAAGTTCCGCTGAATTCAACTAGTGGTGAAGCGCTTTTTAAAAGCAGGGAGAAAATACTCGAGCGATGGGCGGAGCATTTCAACACCCTACTTAACGTGGATCATTTTGTTGACCTAGACCATGTTCGCTGCCTACCTCAGCAACCTTTCGCCCTCGAACTCCATGAGTCAGTCTCGCCTGACGAGGTTGCTCTTGCCATTAAGCAACAGCAAAATAAACGCGCAGTTGGTGTTCATTTTATACCGGGTGAATTATTGAAGTATGGCGGTGGGGATTTGTATTCGGCGATATGGGAACTTTTTGTCGTTATGTGGGAAAAAGAACAAGTTCCTAGTACTTTTAAGGTATCCCTCATACGAGCTCTATATAAAGGCAAGGGTGACCTGTCGAACTGCAACTCTTACCGTTGCATTTCTCTACTTTCTGTGCCTGGAAAAATCTTCGCCAGACTTCTATTAAACCGCCTCAGAAAACTTTCTGAAAGGTTTTTGCTGGAATCCCAGTTCGGCTTTCAACCAGACCGTGGTACCTGTGAGGCGATTTTCTCATTGCGTCAACTGCAGGAAAAAGCAAAGAACAGGGTTGTAATATGTATCTCTGTTTTGTAGACCTTGAGAAAGCATTCGATAGTATACCACGAGAAGCCCTCTGGATAGTGCTGTGGAAAATTGGATGCACGGAGAAGGTTGTGAGACTTATGAGACTCTTGCATGACGACATGCTGAGCTGCGTCGCAGTAAACGCTTATCAGTGAGAATTTTTTTCCCGTTACCTGTGGGGTAAAACAAGGGTGTGTCGTTGCACCCACACTTTTCGCGTTATACTTTGAGGTTTTAGTCCAGGAAGTCTTAAAAACTACCCCTGAAGGAATCCGCAATCGTTTCCACAATGATCTCTTCAGCTTAGACAGACTTAAGGCCTTATTACAGAGATCGTCTACGCAGATGATCTATGTTTTGTGACCGACTCCTCAGCTGGCCTGCAACAGCTCGTGACCACCTTTCATGAGTCGTGCCGTAGTTTTGGTCTAAAGATAAGTGTTAAAAAGACGGAAGTGATGTCTTTAGATATCTACGGTCAAGAGACACTTGCCATCAAACTCGGTGATGACATACTTAAACAAATCTATACATTTCGTTATCTGGGGAGCACGATAACATCAAAGTGTGACAAAAAGTGTATGCGCTGCTGCTGTATTTGGTAAACTGGATCATAAGGTCTTTAGTTCACATGACCTAAAGCTGGCTACCAAAATTGACATTTATAAGGCGGTAGTGCTGCCTAACATATTGTACTCTTCAGAGTCATGGACAGTTTACCGCCGTCACATACGGACGCTGGATCGCTTCCACTTGCAATGTCTGCGCAAAATAACATCCGTTGGTCTGATCGCACTCGAAACACGGAAGTGCTGCGTAGAGCCCATACCATGGGGATTGAGTCCTACCTTATGGAGCGATAACTCCGTTGGTGTGGACACTTCAGTCAGAATGTCAGACCAGCGTACGGCAAAGTGCATCTTTTTCTCTGAATTTGAGAAGGGCAAGCGTAAGCATGGCGGACAACTCCTTAGGTACTAAGATTTAAGTAGACACATGAAGAAGTGCGACATTGAGCCTTTAGAGTGGGAGCAAGCAGCCGCTCGACGACCGGAGTGGAGGTCTTTGGTGAAAGTCATGGTCAAAATGTTTGAGGAGAATCGCTGCTCTGAATTGGATGCCCGACGTGATGAACTCAAAGCACGCCCACCTTGTGCGATTAACTACAATTTCTGTAACGGTGTGCTCACCTGCCCGCATTGCGCGCGAACATTTGTAAATAAGATCGGCTACGTTAGCCATTCACGAGCACACCAACGACAGGATCGGTGTTGAAATCAGTCGTGGTATATATATATCTATGTCAGAACAAATATGAAATATATAAGAAAAAAAAGAGCTGAGTTAATTCAAACTTGCATTGGGTTAGTACTTGATTTTGATAATTTTTTTTTAGTCTAGGAGGCTTGTTGGGTTAAGCTTAAACCTATTATGTACATTGTTTTTAGATGTCGGAAATGCAGTTTGAATTAATTACGTTAAAAAACAAAGTTCTCCAAAAATAGTGTAATAACGAAAGGCAAATATGTCAATTTGTTCTCGTGTGATGAAGTAGATTTCCGGTACTTGATTTTTTAAATTTTGTTTTCAATTTAGGAAGATTGTCAGGGTTAAGTTCGAACCATTTACACTGTTTTTGGATTTCGGAAATGCCTTTTGAATTAATTACGATAAAAATAAATTTCAATTATTGCATATAGCGAAACGCAAATATGCCAATTTGTTTTTTTAACACAGATACACTCACAAAAAATTAATCACTCGGACCCAGACAATCCATTTCTGGCTGGAGATGGGACTTTAACAAATTGAATTGCAGTGGAGAGCTGTTAAGAGGTTTTTTAGAAAACAAAATTATAAGAATTCACATTACATTATTTCATTTACCACTCTAGTAGTTAAGAGCAAGTAGACTTTGTAGATAAAATTGGTTGAATTGGTTCTAAAACCTAATTAGCTTACCCCGACTCCACGTAGTCTTGTCTGCCTTACCCCTAGAGTGTTTTTGTAAAGCCAAGGGTCGAGGTTTTTGTAAAGACAAGGGATTTTGTCGCTTAGGCAAGCGAGCCGTAGCGGCTGAGGCTGGTCGCCGAAGGCGACGAATAAGCCGAAGCTGCGGATCCGAGCATGGGTGCCCGTGATTTGCTACGCAAGGGCGAAGGAGCTGCACTTCCCGCAGTGCCGAATCCGTTGCAGAAGTAACTGCATCTATATTTCTGTATAAAAAAGTGAGGTTATAATTTAAAAAAAAAAGTGGGTCTTCCGGCACTTCCCCCTTTTAGGTGGAGGTTCCTACCACAGCTCCCCCCCCAATCGGCGACCATATATTCATGCAGCAGATTACTAAAAAAAATTATTAAACGGGGGGGGTCGGCACTTAACTCTTTTCGGGGGAGGTTCCTACCCCTCCCCCCCTTTATCCGCCCACTCGGCGACCATAAATTCGTGCGGCAGATTACTTAAGAAATACCAATGGTAGGTTGCATCACGTGATGGCATAATCTGGGGCATCATCTGGGGGCATCACCTGAGGTCATCACCTGGGAGAGGGAGTTATGTGTTGACTATAACTGTGAACAGTTGCAGAGCATGCTAATTGTAAGCAGGCAAGATATTTTAATTGTTGATAATGTTTTATTTTTGGATAAGAACATAGTAATGACCCTAAGTTATGTTTATCTTAATTAAAAAAATTGTACTTGGCCTAACCTACTGTATATACTCTTTGACTTAACCACAGGTCTGATTAAGTTGGTCCAATAAAATGTCGGGGCCTGACCGGTGAAGCTGCTACTTTGCTCTGGTATTCTGTGAAATATAGGGATAGCCGTAGTCGTGCAATTATAACTTAAAATTGAATGTTTCTAACACTATTCAAAACTAGCTTACTTTAGATCTAAGAACGCACCGATGTTTCCTACTTGATTTTTTTTCTTGATTATCGTCTCGGTATCGAGCAAAGAGCTTTTAATTTTCTTTTATTGCACTTATATGAAACACAACGGCACAGTTGGCGTAATTATGACATTTCTTTATTTTTCTATATACCCAAAGTTAGCAAAAGTGAATGTCAACGATGAAATTGAGATAAACAAGAAGAATTATAGCAATACAAATGCAATTCCTTCTAAATATAGAAAATAAAAATAATGATTTCTTATATCATAGATGATACATATATATAATATATATATATATATATATATATATATATATATATATATATATAGGGATGGGATGGGATGGGACTATGATATAAAGAGTATAAAAAAGATTTTGATTTAAATGGAATATTCGTAATCTTTGCAGTAGATATATCGTTTAAAAATATTATTTTAATAATATTTCTATATTTAGCATTTTAAAGCAATATATACGCCCACCTCTTACGATCATGAGTGTTGCAAAGTATTCGAAATGTCGGGTGGTATAAATAGATTAAAACTAAACGATATATATATATATATATATATATATATATATATATATATAATATATATATATATATATATAATAAATGTTTATCCTACCATGCAGACTTAATAAATCAACACTATAAGCCACTAAAAACAATTTTTAATATAAAATTAGCAATTAATCGATTTAAAGAAAACAATTATATGTTCAAAAATCATTTATTTTTCTGACAATGTGCTTTTTATATCATTTATTGCATTTATATGTTCAATATGATTGTTAGATACGATTTCATTCGACAAAACGTTGGATTCTTGATTTTTAGGCGCTAGTAGAACATAGCTACACATTTTAAACTAATGGCATGCAATATTTAATAGACGAATAAAAGGTAGATCAGGTAATTAGAAAATAAAAAGAAAATTACATAAAATATTACCTTTGCCATCGACATAAGTGGGAGTAATAAACGTGACAACGACATTTTAAAATAAAGTACTTTACTAATAATTATCTATTATTAAAAAAAATATAGTTCCAGAACTAATTATAGAAAATATTGCGTATTTAAATAAGTTTTCTAGAAACAGTCAGTAAAAACTATAAGGTTGTTAAGTTACAATTATTTATTATCTGAGAGGGTTACAGACCAGTTTAAGGGTTCCACAATTAGTTAATAAAGAAAAACTAATGAATATTGATAGCGATGATTTTTATTTTCATAA